TATTTTTAGTTACGTGAAAAAAACTAACATTTTTGATTTTTTTTTTTGAAAATGTTTGAACTTTTTTAAAACTCCTCCCTTTACATGTTTTTATAATTGCTTTAAACTGAAAAAATATGATGGTTAATAATGCCGTTTCTTTGAAAATAAGTAGAGTACCTATACGACTTTCAGGATTAATCTTAAATTGAATTTGAAAACAAAATTATGAAAATCTAATTATTTTTTAGAAAAAATCATTTGAGACATTTATTTCTAATCAAAAGTAAAATTATTTTTGCTTACTGTAAACGTTTCGAAAGTAATAGATAGGTTTCCTTCATTGTTAGTAGTATGCAATCTTATATGAAAATCTATCAAGAAGTTTCTGCGTGAATAATAAATAACGCACAGTCTATGTGCTGATTTATTTTAGCTTAAGTCTAGCAGCAATTTTCTTTGTGTAAGTTCGAATAAATCGCCATAATTTCAAAACTTCAGAGTTCAGTTCTCTTTTTTAATCAAGTATTTACAGATATAAGATAGTTTGTACAATATGGTCTAATAAAGGAACAAAAATATTTATAAAAAAATTGGAACACCAAAAAGATAATTCAGGTAAGCCAAACAGCAAATATTAATAACTATTATAGTAAATTACTTAAATAATAATTAGCGCAAAAAAATTGACGATACTATACTATGCTACTAATAATATACACTTTTAACCAACTGGAAATACTACACGTTTTTACATAAACTCATGTGAATTAATAAAACTTCCACATGTAATTTATAAAATTATAAACAAATTATAGTAGAAACTGAGTAAAAAATTATAGTAGAAATTTAGTAAAAATTTGGATTTTTTTTAAATTTTTTCATAATTCTATATTATTTTGAACTGTTGAATCTATTTTTATTTCTCTAATTGCACTTAGGTACAACACTTGAGGTGCAACATAACATCGCAAAACACCTTATATATATATATATATATATAATATATCTATATATAATGCACTGTTGGTGTTTTATCTCTGCATTAGTTGCATGTAAGGTTTGCCACATTTAGTTCAAGGTTGTCGTCACAAACTTGGAGATTTAGTGTAGGAAACTTGCTTGATACATGCTAGTAAACTTAGTATTGTAGTTAGAACTATCATAATTTGAATATAATATGTAATTATATTATGCATGCATATATATGATATATATATATATATATATATATAAAAGAAGCTGAACATCCTAAATGTGCTAAGGCACTTAGAAGAATAAAAGATTTACAGTCTCTACAACAGAAAACTTTTATTAAAATAAAATTGTTGAAAGAAAAAGGCTTGCAAATCTAGTATTTACCATTATTTTTTTTAGATTTGAATCATATTCTGAATAATATGATTTTATTAATATTATTATTGAAATTTTATTTACACCGAAAAGTATAATTAGGAATTTCTAAAGTGGACGTAGTTGCAAAACTTCACGTGTGGTGATTAACTTATCATAAAATTTAAATTTTTAAATAGTTCGGATATAGGTATGATGATATTCTAACTGATATTCTTGATTTAAAAAAAATTGCTTGACCAAGATAGTTTATTAATTTTTCAAAGATTTTAAAGGATTAATTGCTCAAACAATAATGACTAATGATTATCATAGATTTTCAATTTTTAAATAATTTGAATATAGCTATTGACAACATGATAACTAATATATTCCTGATTTTATTAAAATCAACAAGTCGATCAAGATAGTTCATTAATTTTACAAATCTTTCATTTCAAATGCCCAAATAATTAAATAATAATAACGGTTAGAAGCATGTGAGTTGACACAAATTAGAATAGATGTGTGTAACATTTCAACGCACGTGTACATTAAATATTTCAATATAGTAATAATTTTAATATAAAAAGTAGCCTTTAATAATATGTGAGTAAAATATCTTCACTGCGGAGCAATTATCTGAGAATCAATTGTACAATACATACTCTGTATGGTACCGTCAATAAAAAATAATTGTTTAGAATAACTGAAACTTATATATGTACCATTGTTCAAACAATTCCCATTGTTCAAAATATAGTTCAACAAAATAACCAAAACCAATACAAATTATATTTATTAGTACTTTGTAATAAATTGCACCCAAATATATTACTCTTGGACATTTTGCAAGAGCAAGCTAGCTATCCACCTTTAATAATCTTACATTAAAATAATTAGATAAAATCTTAAAGTAGAAGCATACATGCTCCAATTATACATAATATACGTTTTGAAGTTCACTATGAAATCGTATTATATTTTTTGTATACATTTAGACCACGACACGTCAGCACATGGTTCTACAATATGCCGTAGAAGCGTCCGCAAGAGACCATAAAAAATATGATTAAAAAATAATTCAATTTCTCTACATTAAGAGTGCTGTACTGAGCTGGAACGTGGAATTTTAAAAAAATTCAAACTCTAGAAAAACGTGCGCCTGGAACACTATAAAATGAAATTGTTACGTAATGGCCCTGAGATGATATTTTTTTATTAACGCCAAGTAATTTGCTATATAACTAAAGCGCCATAAGCGCGATATTGCACGTAGGTATACTTTGATTTATGGAAGAGTAATAAGTGTATAGCTACTTGTATAGATAAATGAGTCAATATCATAGAAAATTCAACATAAGATAATCTCAGAATGGAAAAATCTTGGAAAGAGACTAAGTTTACTGAGATAAAATGACGATAGTCTATAATGTACTTGCATTCAAAATTATTAGAGAAAGTTATATCCAAAATTATTAGAGAAAGCTATAGAGTTAAATGCGGTTCAAATATACTTGCGAAAAATTGATCACTATGAATTCAGAATAATATTTGGATTTAAATAAGAAGTACTAAATTTATTTTGTAAATATCTATCTAATATATATAAAATATTTTTGCTCGTTTTTTATATTGCAATTTTGCCAAACTATAGCCTGATCGAATCATAGCTACCAATGAAAGAGAATTAAATGAAAACATAAATATTGTCTATGTAATTCTTCTTTTTTAGGGAATTATTATAACTTTTAATTAATTCTTTATTATTAAAATGTGTATTTTTTGTGTAATTGTTAACCAAACCACAAACCACAAACATAAAAATACGGTATATTTTAAAATTTATATTTTTTCTAGTTTATATTTTATATCTGTTGAACAGAATATCCGTGGGTAAAAGTTTATAATGTAATTTCGTTCTAATACACAATAAGAATTATTTAAAACTCACAATACTACTTACAATTTCGTGAAATGTAATAGGCTTTTGTTCAACTCGATCCAATGGCTTTCCGATTTTCAAAATTAAGGCGATTCTGAAAAAACATGAACAAAAATAGATTTTTACATATTTTTGTTTGATAACATCTATAATTGCATAATATAGGGCTTGCCCATGGGTTAGTAGATAGAGCTATTGAATTTGAACTAGAGGTCCCAAGTTCGATAACTTCAAGCAGACTGATCTCAAGCAGTAGTGACATCGGTATACACTTAGAAATATAATTAACAATATATATTCAAGTAAAAGCAGCTTTTATCACTATTATACCAAAAGTAAAACTTTAACATTAGTAAAGTCAATTCTCCAAAAAAAACTACTAAATTTTGATTTCTGATCCTAAATTATGGAGCTCATCAATTCTGATTGCTGTTCAAATAATATTTATAAAAAATGCGTAATTTGAGGAAATCAACATTTTCCGAATCCGAACCAATTTGTGGATGAAATAAAACTATGTCTATCTGAGGATTATTAATTCTGACTTAAAAACTCTGTATCATGATATTGAATATAAGAATGATAGTACTAGGCACTTTTTATAGTATGCTGGGCAAATGTAAATGTTACAGTTATTCAATTAGATCTAATCAAACTAATAATGTAGTTCTTCTAAATGTTATTATAATTAGGTTTAAATTGCATAATTCAATTAGATTATAAATCAACACAAATTCCGTTCTTGTAACATAAAGATACACCCATATAGTGATAATAAACAACAATCTTATTTCTAAAATATTAACAATATCTTTCCTTCTTAAATATTTTCGCAAAACGGCACATATATCCTTTGCTCAATGTTAGCAACCCCTGGACAATAGCAATATTTCATTCGGACCAACCCATGTTGTAAAGTGCAGTAGCATATTAAATAAACGTCTGGTAGGAATAACGCATCTAGATTTTTCTACAGCAGTTCACTATTTATAGTGCATTTTTGTTGTGAATATTACACATATCATACTCTATTTAAAATATGATTCTACATAGCTTTTCAAATTCATTGTAAATATACCTAGACATATTAAATTTATTATAAATCAATAATTTAAAGCATCGCATTATTTACGATCGTATTATATTGATGGTTTATGTTTTTCACTAATTTATACGGATTTAGGTAATAACAAATATTCGGTAAATTGATAAATTAATTAGGCAATTTAAAATGATTTACAAATACAAAATATAACAAGATTTTTGCCAAATCTCTAATTGCCAACTAATTTATAAAAGGTGAAATTTTAATTATCAATATAATTAAAGTAAAGCTAACCATTGTTTAACAACATTATTTCAAAGTAAAGAGACTTTGCTATTAGACGATAAATGGCAATCTTTGAAAATCCATAGTAAAAGTATTTTCTTTGTTGGTAGTTTTTTATCATTAGTTAAAAATGTAATTATTTTAAAAAATACCTTTGAAATTAAAATAAGACATTAAACCTGTTTGCCATCTGGCCGTTCCAAGCTACCCCGACTGTAGGGTAAAAGGTCTAGATAACAAATTTTTTTAAGACAGCAAATAAGCACATTTTTAGAATGATAAGGAAGCTGGTAGTCAGATATTGTTCGTTTCAAATGTGTCATTTGTTGTGATAAATTGGTTTGATTTTCATATATAATTTATATTTGCTCAAAGACAAATTGGACCTTTAGGCCTTGCCCTGCTTCTACATATTATTTATTAAATTTACTTTAATTTATCGAATGTTACTTGAAACTTTTCAAAAAAAAGCAGGCAAAAGAAGAAATACTTAATTCATTTTCTATCTCTCCCCGCAGAAATTTGAAAATTTTGTATAAGCTTAGTAGTATTATTTACAATTATACACAAAATCCAGCATCCAAAAAGGATCTGAAAGCTTGAAACGTAATCAAAAACTCGAAAGACCAAGAAAGACTTGGATTGGATTATACCATGTTTTCTATAGAAAGTGTATAAAACATCCAGTTTGATTGGATTGACAAAATATAGACAAACTAATGGGGTATTTTGTTTTTATAATACCTTATTGTATATAGCATTCAAACAACACATTCTTATACACTTAAAGTATTAATGTTTTTGATTCTCTAGAAATTGTTTAGAATATACTCTACTTAGCAAAACAACGTTTTCCGGGTCAGTTAGTATTTCTATAAAATCCAAACTTGTATAATATTTTACATTTTATAATTAAAGTTTAATAATATTCAAAAAATCAATACGCCTTGTTTGATTTGTGATCTACGCCCTTTGTGTATTGAGTTACATTGGCTTGGCAAGAAATTTATTAAACTCAAAAAATTTTAGAAGCTCAGTGAATATTGCCGCAACGTTGTGTGAAAGAACTTGGTGATTTATATGCACTTTTATATTATACCACGTACATGACACATGTTGTTACGAGATTTACGAGATACTACAGTGACTCCCCAACGCGAATATACCTTCTGTTCGTCATCGTAATATGGAACGCGTTTACAATATGATATATAATATAATATAATATGATACAATATGCATTTATTTATGCCCAGCCAACACAATCGCGCGTTTATGATGCTGCTGCCGCCGCGGTAAGCAACTTTGCATCAGCGCTTTCAACAACAATACGTTCGCGTTCAAACACCGAACTCGCGCGTTGCGACGGCAGAATAATACGTAATTTGCCTAAATTAGTTCCCGTTTATATGACATAAAACAATGTGGTTGCTCTATTGAAAGGACGTGATACAGAAATGATTTACGAGATATTTAAAGCACTTGTTACGATTAAATTATGTAATACATAAAATGGTATCAAGTACTAGGTGTAAGTGGCATTTTTCTTCAATGAAAGTTGATGAAAATTTGTGACATCTGTAAGTAATCAACTTAATGAGAATAAGGCGACTTTTGAAATCGTGACAGTAAAATTATGAAAGACCCATCATTCCGAAATTGGATAAACCGAAATCTGACGATTGGTCTAATTTTGGCTTCATGTCGAATGATTCAGAATGACTTGAAACGTCTAGAAAACATAACATTTTTTTATTGGAATCGATTGATGTCCTATGTATTTGTTCTATCTTATAGGTGATAAATTTTGTGTTAAGTTTAATTGAAAAAAATAAAAAATTATTGAGTGTCGTTAATTTCGCGAACATCTTACTTAGAGTTACCTGAATCTTATTAAGAGTTACTTATTCACATTAAGTACACAGTTAAGTTTTTAAAGAAATCATTTTCTATTTTATGTTCGAGAAAAAAACAATGTATTCAATATTGTGTTTTATATAAAGCATCTGTCCTGGCCGGGCATTTTCTTAGCCCTGCTGCTTTAATATGGGAAGTTGATAATAACAAAACGTAGAGCAAAATAAAAAAATATGCTCCATGAATAATGAATGACATTAAAGAAAAAGAGAACAAAAAACATTGTAATCATCATTGTGCTATCTTTTGACGACATAATACGGTAAAAAAATGTTACAGCTCATGAATATTAGGTTTATAGCAAAATGAGTTTATTTGACAAATCGTGGTAATTAAGAATGTACATCATATTCAAAATGTGATTGTGCGTCACATTAATCATCGGACTTGCTTGTAGATAAGGGACTAGATCGATATGAACCAGAGGTCCCTGATTCGATTTTGCTTCGAAGAGCCTGATGTCAAGCAGTAGTTACATCGGTTTTCACTTGGAAATATAAATAGCAGTATATGAATAAAGGCCTTTTAGGGCCGCTGCACCAATAAATATTCGTACAAGTACAGAATTTGTAATATAAATTTATCACACAGAAATAGGACAATTGTATATGTTGCCATATGTAGAAATGCCTAATATTAAGTCAAATTAACCCAACAGCTTATAGAATTTTTAAATTCTGATTGCAGTTCATAAAATAGAAAAATAAAATACAAAAAATATTAATTATAGTAAATTGTAAAATAATTTTCCTTGCGTTATGTAAATTACTACCTATAAATAAATGACTGTGACCTCTACCAAAAATTAACCAAAATGATTCACAACTAACATATTTTAAGCAATAGTTTACAATATTAAAGTTTTTCAGGCAGTAAGATTTAAAAAAAAATATGTCTAATATTTTAGGCTATTTAAAAACGGCTCTGCTGAACATCATATAAAGCCAAGCAATACATTCATTTTGGGAAATTGATATTGATAGGTTTAATATTAGTATAGAGTAGGTTTTCGAAAAGCTGTTGAAGAAAATTTAGCTTTCAAAAACACAACCTAACCCCCAAAAAAATCTGAACGACGTGATCCCAAATCTCATTCTCAATTTGAATTCAAATAGCTCTGTGAGATGTTGATTTTTTGAAAGCAATGGCTACGGTTGTAAATTGCAACTAAGCGAGACTTATATAATTTTTTATTACTAATTTATACGACGCCACTCTTTCCATTATTAACGCTTAGGATTCAGACAAAATATTCAAGAATTCGAGAGCATTTATTAATTTATCCAAAACAAATTAAAATTCTCAAGGCGACCACTTGAATCCTGTGACTGTTCGAATCGAATTATATCCGCTCCGAATACCAATATACCAGAGTCTATAGTCAAGATATACCCGAATATAACTCTTTTCATTTAAAAACTCGATTTATACGAACAAGTGAAGTAAAAGTTTCTTCTCCCTTATTCTACCCATCGAAAGGGTCGCATACCGTTCTAAATATACGACGTATACATTTCCAATGTACTCTCTCTCACGCATTCTTTCGCTTAGATTTGTTCGATTTTTGTGATCACTGACAATAAAGTAAATGTTTGTCGAATTCTTTGCAAGCGAAAACAGTCAGCTGAGGAGAGAAAAATGATTGAAATGCATTGAATTTGTATGTGAAGAAAATATATATATATATTTTTGTCACACTGCCATTATATGAATGTGCATTTTATTTTTGTTATGGTGTTCTGATTGCTATTAAGAATACAGAAAATAAAATGATAAAAAATACTTATAATTTGATTAGCATAAAAAAGTATATTTTGGGTAAAATGACATAAGTATTTGTATATAGCTAACGTGGCAAATGATATTAAACAAAAACATGAAAGCATAAAAGAAAACAGTTTGTGTGTTTTTTTAAATGATTCACGAATTCTTTCTAATCTATGACAGTCAAGATCATATTAAAACCATTAAGGATTATAAAAATAATAAAAAACAAAGTAGGGCAGAGCTGAGCTTAAAGGTCAGCGGGCAAAAAAGCCCACCACCAAATTCTCACAAACAATTGGAGTTACGAATTTTTCAACAACAATATTTGAAAGTAGAAGGCAAAAGATGTACAACCAGCCTTTAACTTGATTCTTAAGGCGTTGCTGTCGGCAGACACACGGCAATTTTTGGTTGTGAGCACTGTTATTTAGTTTACAAAACCTTAATATAACTTTTAAGTATATGTTATTTAATTGTTATATAATATGTATTATGTATAAATTATAATCAACAGTTTTGTTTTAATATGTGGGTAGGGTAAAAAGAACCAACTGAACCTTTACCCTGACAAGGAAGTTAACAATAAAAACTAGTAAATAAAATAATTGAATAAGTTAGAAAAAATTACAAGAGATAAATTTAATTAATAATTATTCTATCTCTGCTCTTAAATATTTCTGACAAAATATCAGATCATAGCAAAAAATTTATTCATGGAATTTATATTTAGGATTGATTAAATATCATATAGCTATGATTTTGTGAAATTCTTTTAAAATATTTTTGTAATCATTTTAGAATTGCTGAATAATGATACATATCTGGTGTCGTATATATGGAAACGTATATATGAAGAATTGTCAATATTAATTGTTTTAAAATAGACGAATTGGCTACATACATACATACATACATATATATATATATATACAAATATATATATATATATATATACAAAATATATATATATATATATATATAATATATATATAAATATATATATATATATATATATATATATATATATATATATATGTGTGTGTGTGTGTACTTATCGTCGAATTCTATAAGTTATTTACAACGTGCAGTACTAAAATAGTTCATTCATTCCCAACAAAATATTTCGATTTAAAGCTTTAAAGCTTTCAAATTGTATGCGCATTTATCTTGAAAGCGAGAAATACTCCCAAAATCAAATATACTGTTCGTCCCCATTTTATTTCTAGGATTTTGCTGATCATTATTATTTTATTCAGCAATCTTTACCCTCCGTTAATGAATCGAATTCCGCTGAGTAATACTTGGACTGGTTTTTAATTTGTCACGATTAGAATCGTTACAATGAAAAGTTTCTGTATCGTTTAGAAATAAATTACAAAATCAATCTGATTCGAAGCTATATTTGCACTTTGTCTGTAAATTTATTTTGTAAGGTTTAATTATTTATATACCTATGATTCATATAAACAACAAGAAAAATAATTGATGAACGTGTGCATCTAACTTTTTCAAGGTTTGATTATAAAGATTTTTTTTTAATTGATACTCGTTGAGATATTCTACCAATATGAAGCTTTATGTGCTTAAAAATTATCTTATCTATGACGTAATATGTTTATCGTGAATCTAGTTTAATTTAAATATTACATGATAATTTAGGGAAGTTCAAAATAGGGTTCTTAAACCATACTGAAAAGTAAATGGATTTTTACAACGACATTGTAACGGAGGCTATAATTTATGTTATAGTTCCTTCCTGAAACTTGTCAATTTGGCACATTATGGATACATATGGATACCATCGAAGTTTTTTTTCGGTGGTTATAGATATTAGCTACATACTTTGTTTACTTATTTTATATCTTATAATATTTAATGTTCTACATTATATGATATATAATGGCATACTTCTTTATTTTACTTGCTTTTAACATCCTACTCTACATAAACTTTTATATTCTACATTAAAATTTTAGCGTAATAATTTTACATAAAAACATTTTGTTATGGTACGGGAAGTTCCAGCAATTTGCCTTGAAGCACGATGCCATACACCACTAGTTTAAATTTGAAATGATTTAGGGAACAATTCTTCCATAAATTAGACAGTTACAGTAAAGTATCGTTGTTATGACAACGATATGTTACGCTTCTTTTTTTCTATAAATTTGTAGTAAAAACTGTCAAAATAATATGTATTTGCCGTGCAGACAAACGTTTAAAAATCAGACATTTAACATGTACTTGAAGTAAACAGTTCCAGTTCAATTAAGTATATAAATTAAAAATGCAAGTAGAATTAAGTTTATATTTTTAACTTCATCTAAAAGAAACCTCACATCCTAAACTAAACCAAAAATCTAGAATATATCTAGACCAAAAGCTATGTGAGTTTATCCTTCCAGTAAAACGTTGAGACATTACACAAAGCTATAATCTTGCTAAACTGCTGATATGAGAAAACATAATCGTTCATATGTATGGCTTTCCTGGGTA